AATGATCAAATACTTGGAATTGGCTCTTTCACAGGAAGTGTATGAATATCTCGAGGAACTTGATCAAATGAATTGGTCAGCCCGAGGTAATGTATTGAATCAATATTTGAGCAACACTTCAATTGGAACGACAGTAAAGCGCAAGGGAATGCTATAAGCATTTTAATCTATGGCAGGTTTGCCTGTTATGGCAGGTTAATTTGCATGTCGCTCATCTGGTTTACATGTTTCAAAGAGTTCATGTCATATGTCACTGTTGTATTTTCTACATGTCGTAATTTCAACGCAATGTTGCCTGTCAGAATTACTGCCACAGGGCCTCACATTATTTAAACCAGATGATTCTATTCCAGACCTGCCGATTTAATCGTGAGACTCACAATTTTTTATGCTTTCTCACGATCTCACGATTAAGTCCCCAAATCTCACGATTTTCGGTGAAGTATGAAATCATCAAAAAGTGCAACATCTAGTTACAATTAGGCACACTCTTCCAAGGAAACATCATACTTTATTAGTGTATTAATAATGCACAATGTACAACGCCAGAATTTTGTATACATGATGTTTACGTTACAAAGTAAAAGGCGTGTCCTGTTAAGTTTATTGTCCCCTAGTCTTAATATTACTCGTAATTTTCTTGTTTTTGTATGCAGTGGAAGCTACTAAAGCCATAAAGAAAAAACAGCCTATTCTTAATAAGCCTTGCATTTACGGTTATATTAACAAAATATAACGCATACTATCCTAAGATTGAGTATCTATTGATTATTTTCTAATGTTGTTAAAGTTAACCCTGGTCATATCAATGAGCAAACCTGAAAATTTCTAAGTCTCACGATTTTTCAGTCAATCTCACGACTTTTTAGATAGCAACTCACTATTTCTGCTACTCAAGGGTTGGCAGGTCTGCTATTCTCATGGCCAATGAGTAATGATACAAGTTAATTAAATTAATTAACTAATTATCTATTGTATATTTGCCACAATTAATTTATGGAACAATACTGTTTTTAGCTGTATTTTATATTTATCAGTGATAACTATACAAACAGTAGCTGTATGTTATAACTATAGAATAAAATATTAGCAAGCGAATATTTATTATATAACGATAAATCATAACCAATATTTATTACAAACCGGAAGTTAAAAAAGCAATGACCTTCGTGGAAAATCAAAGTAAAATACATAGAAAAACACTCAAAAAGCAAATACTTTCACTTTATAAACAGCACATGGACAGACTAATATTATTGTGGCCTTCCAATTCAATTAGAATACAAATACTGTTACAATTTAGAGTAAATAGCTATGCGTAAAAAAATTGCCAATAAAACTCCGTTCAAGTGTTATCTTGTTATATGACTCGGCAAACAGGTTTAAAATCATTGATCTTTATTGTCATTATTGTAGCTTCAAAACTCTGCTGAATTATTTATCAAAATTCTAAATATGTAATTATATTGAAACGCCATATTTTCTACAAACGCAGTGACATTGTTTTGCTTCCCCGATCAATTTGCCTTGACATACGTCGATCGGATTATGATTATAATTTAGCATGTTTGAACACAACAACACTTTCGATGGGCAATAATTTCAATACTTTGCTAAATATCTACGAATGAATAATGAATGATTTATGATTATAATACACGATTTACCTGAAAAATTTCTTCAAAATTTGAATTCATATCGTGGGATTTACATGTAATATCATTTGTTTTCGATTCGTAGACATTGATCCATTTGTGATCGTACCATGCTAATAATGAGATTAATTGATGCACGTTTTTACCAGAATTATTATACGGTGTTTCACCCCGGCAGCGAAACCCGGTCACAGACCCGGTGTAAAATTTCAACCATCAGTTAACAGATTGAGAAAATATTAGAATAAGGTTGATTCTTTTCATTATATGTAGTAGTCTTGTAGTTGGTAGCGATTAAATAAAGTTGAGAGATTTATAATGAGTTTAACTTTTTTTTGCTCTTATATATTACAGTAAGTTTCGAAGTTGAGAATGGCCACCAATCTCAAACCCACCAAATTAGCTAGTAAATGTGTATTTATTTATTTATTTACGTATTCCTGGGTTTCAAGCACGTCATATTGTATAGCAACCTCAGTCCACTAAAACAACAAAGGAACAAAATGGCTGTCAACGCATCCTATGTTAATTAAAAAGCCAATATAAAATAAACAATATGAAAGCCGTCCTTTTCCCTTGACGTGACATATGAAATCCGAGAATACAATTTAAATGCTTTGTTCCATTCTATTATTCTATTATCAGAACAGTAGTGACAAGGCATGTGAGTTTTTTGAAAATGTGAATCGGATGGGAGCGGACAAGATCCGGTCAATTGAGTGCACACTTTTCACAACAATTTTTCATACTTGTCTTTTTAATAATGGATTCTTACAATTTCAGTACAATTATAACTAATTGTGTCCAATAACTTAAACTACAATCATTCCAATTACCAGTTTAAACTTTCCTACAGTAATTATATCCACGAAAAATCTTTAACCTTACTGGCAATACACTTTAAACCGTTCGTAGTTCTGTTTTTGAGTATCACAGTCTTTCGCGCAAGCATAAAGCCGGTTCTAGACGAGCAAGTTTTCTATGACAAGTTTTTATGTGACAAGTTTTATTTGCCAAGTGCACGTGTGTATATGCAACAAATTTTATATGACAAGTTTTCATATGACAAGTTTTATTTACTGGTGTGAACGTGTCAGAAAAAGGTGTTTATCGCCGCAATATGACAGGACTTTGATAAGTTTTCTTTGTTGACCCACTCTCCTCCGCAGAGCCTTACGAATTTTTAGTAAAATTGCGTAATATTAAGGGGGGAGGACAAATTACGCAAGGTATGATGGGAAGACGGAAGCTACGTAAGGATTACATTTTGTCAACCATCGATCCCCCCATCGCGCATCACTAAATATCCTTTACTATTCCTACAAATCCTATATAATTCAGACTCTGCGGAGGAGAGTGTTGTTGACCCATACAGACGAACAAAATTTGTACATTGACAATTTTTCTATGACAAGTGGACTTCTTCAAGTCCTTCAAAAGCTAGCATGCTAGCTTTTGAACAAGTGCACTTGTCATAGAAAAAATTGTCAAAGTTGCGCGTACAGACGAGCAAATAAAACTTGTCACATAAAAACTTGTCATTGAAAACTTGCTCTTGAAAACTTGCTCGTCTGTCACCGGCTTTAGTCAATGGACCATTTTTGCATTATAGACTAAATTTTGATCTAGACAAAAATTTCATCACAGCTTGAAAGAGCATCACAAAATTAGTAATATTCCAAAGTTTCGTTGCAAAATGTTGTAAAATGCGGATAATATATCCCTGCGAAGTTTGCCGTTTTTCAGTCATTTTGTATTACAAACGGGAAATTGATAGCCCCAAAGGGTATTGGGCTGTCAGTTTCCCCCGCGTAATGCAAAATGACTGAAAAACGGCAAGCTTCGCAAGGCTATATTATCCGTATTTTACAACATTTCGCAACGAAACTTTTGAATATTACTAATTTTGTGATGCTCTTTCAAGCTGTGATGAAATTTTTGTCTAGACTTATTTAGATCAAAATTTAGTCTATAATGCAAATGGTCCATTCAAACAATGTGAAAAGGACTTTTAAAAGTTGTAATTGGAAATTTACCATTATACAAACAACTACAATACTAAAAAGTTGTTTTTCGTGGTGCGGAGACTCTCAAACGTGGGAGACGCAGTACCCAAAAAATGGCGGGAAAATCGGCCGTGAGAAAGGCTAATAGACCTTTTCCCTTATTACGTTTTCGTAGCGCTTTGCATTGTGGTTATAATGGTATCACTGATATTCAAGATGGCTTATTTTTTGTCCTGACCCGTGCAAGAACTTTTTTAAAAAAGCTAGGGTCAGGTGCGCGATAGCCAACAGCAAAATATTCGCGAAAACATTCAATATTTTCATTCGAGGCCACTATCTTTATCAGTGATACCACTATAACCACAATGCAAAGCGCTACGAAAACGTAATAAGAAGGGGAAAGGTCTATTGACTACGATGCAAGCGCTTTAATTTTTATTGACAGCATGCACTGTTATTCTTGTACTTAGTCTTAGAATCATCGTACTTTTGGGTAAATAGTTTTTATTGTCTCAGGCACGAATCACACAGATTGTCCTCTATTTCGTTAAAAATCGTTCGGTTCTTGTACTTCATGGACACGTTCGGCTCAGTATCTCAATTGAGGTTTGGTTTTTATGATAAACCTATAAAATATAATATTTCTACAATCAAAGCGATGATAATGAAGGCATACAAAATTGCTTGTGTAACTATGAAGGGATGGTCCATTACTGGACTGGACCTCTAGGAAGAAGAGTTTAGAACTGTTATAACGAACTATTCTTGATCTATTGATGATTATATTGTATGACTTACTTATCTAGAGCCTCCCAAAATTTCAACATTGAGGCACGATCGAGATGACGTTTGCTGCGACTTATCTACAAGAGAAACACCCAATTAACTGACCCAAGTTCAATGGCAAAGCATTTCAAGGTAACAAAATTCACATTTTCAATTTTCCAATACTTACGGTTAAGACATGAACGTCCCACTTCTTAACGTTGGCATCGGTTTCCACTCCATCAAATTTGAGGTTGAATGCTTTTACTACAGAACGAAAAACAGGAGAATATCAATCACGGTTCATTTACAGGGCGCCAAACCAAAGATGTTTCTGGATTTGTTGGGCAACAATTTTCGGTCCAGAGAAGAATTTTTCTGCATACCGGCACCGATGTTTTGAGGGTGGGCAAACAAGGAGGCATTTAAGGAAACATCACAAGTTTCACCTTTTGTAAAGATGTTCACAGGCGAGCCATCACTGGCGAGCCAGGGCCATCCTTTAAATTGCCACGTTGGTCCTTGGACAAATACAGCCACGACACGATTCCTTTAAAAGAAAAATGTTGAAATTTATGCTGGATAGCTCCCAAGAGGTCCAGTAAGAGGTCATTAGTAAGAGTCCAGTTATCGAGCTCTGCAAGCAGCGCAGGAAAAAATAATTTTCTTCCTGGGAGCACAACCTGGAGACACAAATTTCCTGCAGACCAACGGAGTATTTTTGTGCTAAATCTGCATGTGCATAAACATATAGTGTTCTAGCTGACCATGGTTTTAAATTCAAGGAATAATGTCTGTCAACCATATGTTGTTGTGCCCATAGTGGGACATGGGTGTTAAGGTTTCCTTCAAATTTTCAATAGCAAATCTTCATTCAAATGAATTTCCTGCAGCTGTTTAACATTTCCTGCGAGCAGTTCTCGCCTATTTTTTCCACCCCTGTCTGCATGACCACAAGTTGTTGTACAGTACATATACTAATGTCACGCCAGCATGAGGAGCATGATTGGGTAAATATGGAGAATTTCGAGACTTACCAATCGTTAGGCTGAAGTCTTTGTGTACTATCAATAACTCTGTATGGAACAGTGACAGTGCCTGGAGCTCCGTGAACTGTCGCTTCCTTACGACGTTGTATCAACACTTCGCTCTCTTTTCGAGTGCCATTTTGTTTCTTTTCATCTGCAGTCACGAACCTTAAAGGAAAATGAAAAAAACTTCTCAGCAAGAAGAAGAACTTCTTAGCCATCTTGGTACGATGAAAGTCTGCGATATCTATGATTCCAGCTTGCCATACCTGAAATCTTGAAGTAGATCTTTACAGTTGAATAAGGTGATTAAAGACGTTGCACCAGCAGGAACAATGATTATAGGAGTACGAGATTCTGAAAGTAGTGAGTGTCAATGTCAGTACATGATCGTAACTGTCATAATCATGCTAATCAACTACAACCTAATGGATGATTCTAGCTATGGACTAAATTTTGATCTGGGCAAGAAGAAAAAAATCCATCACCACAGCTAGAAAGAGCATGTTAAAATTAGTAAAATTGCAAAGTTTGGTTGCGAAATGTTGTAAAATGAGGAAAATATAGCCCTACGAAATTTGCAAATTTTGTATTAATTTGTAATACGCACGGGAAGTTGCACCACTTTCGGCCCAAATGCGGTGCATTTTCCCGCGCGTAATACAAATTAATACAAAATTTGCAAATTTCGCAGGGCTACATTTTCTGCATTTTACAACATTTCGCAACCAAACTTTACAATTTTACTAATCTTAACATGCTCTTTCTAGCTGTGGTGATGGGTTTTGTTCTTCTTGCCTAGATCAAAATAGTTCAGTGACTGTACCTCTCTTTTGTGGTATCTGTGGAGCAGGTTTCTGTTGAACTATAAATATAAGTTTAGTTTGAGTTTATTGAGTTTTCTCACTCATTGGTGAGCGGATTTCCCAACAGGCTATTGCTCAATTGATAAGAGATCCGAGGTACCTAACCATTTACTGATGTCAAAGTAAAGGTAGCACTTTCTCCTCAATTATTTTAAGACCTCGAGTAGAGGTCCGACCAAGGCAAGCGTCGTGAACATGTGAGTAACAAAAATTCAAAACGAGTGAGTCATAAAGAGATAGTGTACATTTCTGGGGGGATTTCTCGTAATGATTACACTCTTCTTTATTTCATCAAAATTATATGTTAATTACTATTTCAAATGTGTAAAACTACAGTTGATGTGCACACAGTTATTTGTGGTTGGTTAAGAAAATTCAAATAATTGTTAACTTTATTGTAATGTTAATTTCTGTCGTTCGATATCCTGTGGCTCAGACAGGAAACATCGATCCGCAAATTTCCTTTTGGAAAATTTGAGGAAATTTTAGTTTTAAAAAGTGGAAACACTGCTTGCAAAAACCAAAATGGCGGTCGTTTCCTAGCGAATTTCGTAAATTTTCTGAAGAAATTGTAGCCATATTCTTAATTTCACACATCTTTTTAGTACAAAATTGCAATAATAGTCAGCAAAATACTCTATATCTTTCATTATAGTAAAATACATTCGAAGTGATTGTGAACATCAACCTGTTTTTTCGAAACGTCATTCGCAAAATGGATGATTTTGCGTTCGCAAAAAGCGAATTTACATTCGCAAATTGCGAATAGCGAGTCGCTAAATCGAACCCTGATTACAGTATTAAAGCTACCCAAATCCAAGCGCTGTATACACAGTATAATAGTTAATACACAAGAAATTACCCGAAGAATGAGATTTTGAAGGTCTTTGTTGGTTGGACGAATGCGACGATCGTTTTTGCTCTGTTTTATGTACACCTTCCTGCAAGAAAGCCCCTCAACTGAGTTATTTTGTCATGGGAATATGATTATCACACATAACATCGTATAATGCATATACGGTAAACCGTTGGTTATACCTCTTGGGTACGGAGATCTTACCTTTACGCGATCCAAACTCAAGCCATGATATGTTCCCATTGTATCGATGTTAAATCCTTCCGTTTCTATAATGTGAGAATACTTTGAATTAACCCGCTGATTGCCAACACTCTGCCCCTGACAAGTAAAATCATGAATAGTATCATTCTGAAAGGTCTCTTACACTTCCTTTGTTGGCATCTGTGGAAGAAGAAATCGTCTGACATACAGGCTAAATTCTTACCTTCTTTTCGATTGAATCTTTCCTGATCATATCTGTTGTATGACACAGGCATTGCCGCTTTCTTCTTGGGCACCTCCTGGATGATATTAAAGTTGAGAAAATTTAGCCAACCAATGAAAGATAAATCACATTACGGATAAATCAAATAAGAATACAGTGCTCAGATAAGAAAGACGTACTGCAACAGGGGCTGGTTTTTGTGGTTGTTTTGCTGCCGAGCCATCTTCGTGAGCCTTCACCGATTGAAGGATTGCTAAGATGTTCTTCAGGAAATACTAAAAACAAACAACAACTGTAAAAAAAAGACTTAATCAACTCTCATGCCACTCTTGTTCTTATTTGTCCAGGGCTTGAGAGAAAATGGTAATACTATAACC